GAGATGGAAGCCACGTGAAATATGAATAGTCCTTGGGCGGGCAGGTCAGCCCTGGGTGTCCAAAAAGAGTCCTTTGGGCTGTGATCTTCGGCCAAGTATTCCTAGGAAAATGCGGCAAGTTGTCTCCTCAAACACAAGGGAATCCACGATAACAAAAATGGTCTTGTTCCAGGATGGGACCCTTGAAGAACTCCGGGTCGTTGCAAGGGCGGTGTGCGTGATGGGGGGCAAGCAGGTGATCGGTCCAAGAAACGACCCGTCTCCACGAAGACACCTTAAATGACTTATAAGATGGTCGGGAATGGCTTGACGTGAAAGACACTAGGGGGTTAGTGGGAGATGTCTGATCTTGCTGGCGCAAAACGGGAAAGAAGAAACCAACAAGCTCCTGGGATGGACGAGGATGGGGGAGCGGGCAGGATCCTGACAGTGGATGATTAAGTTCGGAATGGAGGCATTTATGTCTGCTTGCGATGTCCTTCCTCGTGGGGCGTTGTACTGGAGCGGCGACAATGGTTGATCCTGGTCAAGACAGCAGAAAGATGTGGTCCGTTGGGAAGTCGAGGCGAAGGGAGGACAGGGACCAGGACAGACGCAGGCCGGCGAGACTCGAGTAAAGATTTGCATTCGCCCCAATGACCAACACCATGGAGACGTCTCTGGTTTCAAGCGGGACGGCTGCCGCATGGGCTGGAGGATACGTGACTGCCAAGCGCTGTAGTCCAGAAGGTTCATCTGTCGGGCGTCCTGGAATAGATTGGTCGACGGTGGGAGCCCCAGGACAAGTTGGCATCCATCCCTAGCTCGTCGAGCGTGGATCGTGGGCACGACACGCGAGTGACGAGGGAGATCAGCGTGCCCTTTGATTGCTGGTGCTCTTCCTGTCCCCCTCTATTTTCGCGCGATGCCAGGTCGAATTTTTTGACACTTGGCCCCTCAGTCAAGGAAGACCCCAGAAGGACGACAAATCTTATGGCCGGCCTGTGTAGGCTCACGCGTGGAAGCCATTGGACGTGCCAACTCCTGACGGAGGACGGAGCCAGTTGTGTCGAGTAGGGCACCGATTGGGCTGTGACAGAAACTTTTTCTTTGCTGGGCTGGAGGATTGTTGCCCGAAAGGTCGGAGTAGCTTTTCGGTACCGGATGGGATGATTTGTGCAGGGTTGTACCTAGCGGGAGAAGAAGCGGTGACAACAGGCCGGGTTGGGCACAAATTGGACAAGCAAACACCGACGGCCGATACGATGAGGGGACGCGCGCTACGTGCGAAATGTGCGTGCCCAACCATGCCTTGATGCCCACCTGGTAAGTCGAAGTTGCTTTTGTGCATCATTGAATCAGGAACCCTCCATCGAATACCCCAACAGTGGCATTGCTCAGAAGGGGTCGACTGACTATTACCCGTCAACCAATCATGCAGCGCTTCAGCAGACATACTTCATTGTCACAATCGTGGGCGCCTTGCTCCGCTGAATTCCGGGTGGCTTCTGCTACTTTAGTAGAACCGGGTCGGTGACCTTTGGAGCCTCAATGATTCGCGGATCCGACGAATGGTATGTGTAAGCTGAAAGTAGCGAACGTGAAGCTGGTCACGGTGATATTGAGGCAGGGGAGGCTCATGGATCCGGGGAGATGTTGCTGGGGCTGGGTCAAGATTTGGGCGGAAGCGTCTGGGCCCCCGCCAGGGCCAATGGTGTGCACCCCAGAGGCTTCAAGGCTGGTCGTTCGGCTGGCTGCGGGTGACTAGTCCATCGCCATCGACTTCCATCGCCAATCAGGCGGGATGACGTGCGCCTCGGTTAACCCCAGTATCCTGGCTTGCCTGGGTAGTTTCTCGATAACCTCAACGATTCGAACTCGACTGTCCCGAACCCAAGGGCGAACAGTGATGGTCGGACGATCGCCGCAATCTTTGTGCATAATATGCCCTAGACAGACTGATCGATCTCGGGGTGCAGTAACAGTCAGAAGTAGTCGAAACGAGCCAAAAAGTGCCGAGTGGAGGAGGGGGGGGGGGGGGCAGGATGGCCATTTCGTCTATTGATGAGCTGTCAGGCGGCGCCTCGTGGCTTGCGGGGATTGCGGGACGATCAAATCGCCAAATTGATAAAATGAGATGGATGACGTTGGTTGTTTTTTGTTGCCATTTTTGTCACAAACGTATCGAGCTGCTGTCTCATTTGACTGTTGTTTGGGTGTAATGGCGACAACGACTACGGATACATCTCGTGCCATGCATATGCGCTGTAAGATTTGGGGGGAAGCCGTCGTTCGTCAATCGGTGGACGTCGACACCTGTCGTTCCACCAGCGCATTGATACAGGGTGGGTGGGGAGTTTGTTGTGCTGTTTCGTATGCCTCATTGAGACGACGACGTCTTTCTGAAGCGGAGTAGACCGTTGAAAGTTGGCCGAAACAAAGGAGCAAACAATCTTGGGCTCCCCATGCTTCCGGGCATTGAGAAGGCCGGGATGTTGCGCATGGCGGAGCGAAATGCGCATGACATGACCGAAATCACAACCGGTGTGTCCCACTTAAAATCTGGCGATTCGGAGGGGTATGACCGGCCACTTCCACCGAGTTGTCAATGCGTCTTTGCTTCATCGGGTCGATGCTTCTATCCCGTTTTCCGGGATAACGGCTCGAGATCGAGTTCAATCGAGAGGCCCGTCGCGGGTTCCTAGTCGGCCCAGTTCTGCCACGATTGCCACGGTCGCACCGATGGAAGCATCCGGCCATGGAAGCACTTTCGAATGTTCGGTGTCGACGTTGGGAACAACACCGGCTTGATAGTCTAGGTTGTGAGGATGATTCGATAGATGACAGGGTTGACACTCGACGCTAAAGACGACACTTTAGAATGGAAGATTGGTTTATGCCTTGCTTATTAGCGCGGGTGGGTTGAGTTCTGGAATATTCTTTCCGTCTGTTGGAGTCCTCGGTTGATATGTTGGGCGGGGGGGAGTGTGGTTGTACGATGCTGTCAATCTGAGGTTAAGATGTGTTGCTTGATGGTGTAAGGAGTAGAAACCCATGAGACCGGTCGGCGCTTGCCCATTTGGATGTTCACTTCTGGTTCCATTCAAGTTCAAGTCCTGCTGGGCAGGTTCGGCCCTTCCTGTCCAGGGTCTCGAGTACCTAAGCTTGCTGAAGTAGCAGAAGGCCCGCACCTTCCACAAGATACGGTACAACGTCAGTGGCCGGAAAAACAACGGCAGGACGGGCTTAGAACCGAGGGGCTTGGCGGGGCTGGACCGGGTATCATCCTGGCCCACCAACTAACATCCATTGTCTCCTATTGGTCGAATTCTCATGCACCTCTCGTGTAGCAACTTCCACCTGATCGCTTACGCCAATCATCATCAACATCATCAACGTTTTCGTCAAGTTCAGAGGGCTGATTAAACATGAGGGATGGGAAACAGAGACTCCTAAGTCGCAAACTACGTGCATCTCTTCTCTCATTTCCAACCTCCCAGCTACCACTTCTATGTTGTCCCCTTCTTGCCCGGTGCTTTCCCCAGGATCTCATGCAACTGCAAGATCAATCTCGCTCTGGTCCGCTTAGCCGCATTTCCCACCAAGCATGATCAATCGGCGTCGCCTCAAGCCCCGGGACTGTGTGGAGAATCATTGACAACGAGGTGCATTGACTTGATATGGCACCGCCCAAGAACCGAATACGCAAATTCCACCGTCGCAGCAAGAACGGTTGCTCGACGTGTAAGCTGCGTCACGTACGATGTGACGAGCGGAAGCCTTTGTGGTATGCATCCCTCCCACGTCTTCCACGCCCATGTCCCCTTGACAATGCTCATGCCCCCCAACTGCCCCTTGCCACATGTCCCGTCCATAGAGAACCAACAGACAGGACACTCCTCCCGTCGAATGGGTGCCTAACATCAGCTTTAGCACAAACTGTCTGCAGAGCGGCAAGGACTGCGTATATCCTGACGTTGAACCTGACGAGGAGACTCAATCATATTCTCTTTCAGGATCCCGATCTGGGTCCGAGCCAACCGTTGTCCCGGCTGAAGAAGCCTCCATCATTACCAATGTCGTGTCAAACCAGCCATTTGCCGGCTTCTCATGCGACTACCAGATGTCGGCAACGTCGCAATGGCTCTGGCACCAATGTAAGCAGACTTCTTTGCTTCCGAGATCACTTGACTGACATCATGCCCAGTCACCGCCTTTTATGTCAGAGGCCAGACTCCGGTAGAAAGGGGACAGAACCTATGCAGGTATGGCTTCGTTTTCTATTCCAGCACATTACCCGGGTTAACATTAGAAAGCGTACAAAGGACACTTCTGCATCCGGGCCTGCTTCACGGCTGTCTCGTCGTTGCGGCTTGCCAATGGGCATGGGTCACTGGATCCCTTGAACACGTCAAGGTGCCGTTTCTCTATCACAAGGCAGCCGCCTATGAGTTTGCGAAGCATCAACTCTTCGATTCTGAAGACATCGTCAGCGACACAGCCATCTTTGCTATAGCCAGCCTGGCACTCACTGAGGTAAAGAACAATAAGGTCCTGATGGTAGCGTTTTGCATGCTAATGGCATGCGCAGGGAGCGGTTGGGGATTTGGATGCTTCTTCGAAGCACCTGCGCGGTCTTCACAGGCTGACTCTCAGGAAGAACGGCTACAACTTGATGAGGTCGAATCTAGCGCAACAGATGCTGCAGATGTGAGTGGCCCCTCGCGGATAATGTACAACGCTGATCGGTTAACCAATACTTTGACAGGGCTGGTGATCGCCTACGCCTAGGGGAAGTAAATGTGATTCACGACGCCATCAGTGCTGATTTCCAGCCCAGCATCATCGCCTTGCTGTTTACTTCACTGTGGGATATGGAAAGTCTCCCGCCGCGGCAAGCACCGAAATACGGATGGTGGGAAGGCGACGAGACGCCCACAGACAGGCTCTGGCAGGACTATACCAAAAACCTAAATTGGGAGCTTTCTCGTGGATTTGACCCAGAGCGCAATATAGCAACGATGCTCAACGGCGACGCAAAGAGCAGCAGGGCGAGCTACATTGCCACTTTTTTCTACCTCGTCATGGCGGTCAATGACAGCGAGATGGATTGCGTCCTGACCGTGTGGCTGCTGGAACAACTGATTGACGATGTGTGCGATAAGGAGGAGGAAATGATTGCCGGGACATTCAGTCGCAGCCTGTGGTTATGGAGTGTCCTGTTCGGAGCTGCTGTGGCTTACACGGGTAGACCAATTACCGTCACAGGCAGAGAGCAACTCGCGAGGTGGAGAGAGTTGTACGCTGCAAAATTGAGCTTGGCCAGCAACGTGCTGCAGCTCGACAGCTGGCACGACGCGAAGACGGTCCTGGCGGAAGTTGCCTGGACCGAAGGCTCAGATGCTGAGGGGAGACTACAAGACATCTGGGAAGCAGCCGTCTTACGTCGTACGGGCTCTGCAAACCGGATCCATGAAGTGGACGTGACGACGTAAGTGGCTGAAAGATACTGCCAACACGGCTAGAAGATATTCCAGCTTCCGGACCGACACGTTCATTGCCCTCTAATCAACAGCACCATTTCGAAAGAAAAAGATACGATGATGCATATCACCGTACGCGAGTCCATGATATCGCCGACTACATGTCGGAGCAACGTTTTGCCGAGGTCCGGTGTCAAGTTTTCGGTGACCTGGCGATCCTGGCTTGAGTCAGGAAGCTGGTACACCGAGATTTAGATCGGCGTTTTAGGTAGGGGATGATGCACTGCAACTCCCAGTTTGTCGTAGCGCAGACGGGCGGCTTCATATCCGAAACTTGTTTTCTTTTTTCTTTTCACTGTGAAAAACCAGCAGCTGAAGAAAGACCCACCGACTGGTATCTCTTGATCTCCGGTTCGTGTCGGCGACGGCGGCGAGGCGAGAGGGCAAGATCGCCATGATTGCCAATTGCCTCACGTTGTGGTAAAGGGGGGATTTCCACTCGGCAGCATCTACCGAGGGACGAGCGTAACAGAGTTCAATGGTGTGGAAAGGCGACAAGGATGAGCCGAGTACTGTAAAAGTTGTTCCATCTGCGACCGGGCTCGATGGGGAAGGGAAGCTGCCGAACGGGAGGTTGGAACTCTGCCGGCACGGATGGGTCAGCAGTGGATACTCATGTACTGATCATCATGCTTGAATGTCAAGGACAATCACGTGCAAGTGTTACGTCCAAGAGTTGTGAAGCCTTTGATGTATCCGTAAAGGGTAGTAAAATGCTGGAAAGGGGAAAAGTGGTTTCATCGTACAATTACTGTCCCGACAAGAGGTAGGTACTGACTGTAAGTAATTAGACAAAACGAGGTGCTAAAATGGGTTGAAAGGCGGCAAGTTATGGTGTTGGTCTGAGGCTGCGGGTGGCTTGCGTCAAGCTAAGTGCCGTTTGTTTGTTTTACCCGTACTGACGGGACGTTGTAGACGATTCTGAAAACAGACAGCGCTATCGCATGGCGCATCGTGGCTTCCCCAATGCCATGTGTCTTAGTCTTTGCTCTTGCGCTTTACCTTACCTAAGAAACGCCATCTAAGAGTCTGGGACACAAGGCAAGAACCTTGCACACACTCTCTCGATCTCGACTTCAATGTCAACGTCTCGTCGTCTGCGTCCATCGCCAAGGTCTTTCTCCATCCCATCGTCAATGCTCTCCGCTTGACGACAGGCGCCTTCGTCTCACGTCTCTCGCTGTCCCCTGCTGTCCCCTCGTCCCGTATTCCGTGTCAACGTCAGCTCATCAGCCATCTCGCATTAAACTGCCTTGAACTGCCACACGCCAGTGGTTCCCCCGCGTCTCAACCTCCTGCTGGCCTCAAAGTCAACAAGAGTCAAGACCACCGGCTTCAACTATTTCCAGCTCGTCGGCATCAAAAAAGACCGAGATGGGGGGGGGGGGGGGCAGGAAGATGGAGCTGCTCAATGCAAATTTGACGGGAATTCGGAGAACGAAGCAAGAGACGACGTGGAGCAATTGCTGGTGATCGAGTCGAACGGTCGTGGATCGCATCAAACTACTCAACATGCCGCTGTATTTGCCGCTGCCACTACCACTACCACTGCGCTCCTTGGTAAGACCAGCATGACAAGTTGCACCATGTTGTCAAGCCATCACAAGGCCACGCGCTGCACGTTACTCATGCATCACAATGCAGCATCATCAAAGGAGTCGCAAATGGTTGGCGAGGACCGCTTCCGCCAGAAGCAGGCCAGCTGGTAGACACCGAAAGACTGCATCGCGAAGCGCGTTTATGTGTCTTGCGGGCGTGATGCACTGCGTCGTTGTTTGTGGTGTGTGGCCGACCGACAGCGACCCGAGCCAGTGAGCATCGAACACGCCAAAATAGCTGCTGGCGGATTGTGCAAGTTGAGACGGAGAGTGTCGGCCGGTGTGTGTCAGCCATGACGGCCCGCCAACCACGGCCTCTGCTTCATCGACGCGTGAGCCGGCGGCGTGCCTACACCAATGAAGCAGCCAACGACCAGGAGAAAGAGTAACACGAGGTAGACGGACAAACGGGCTGAGAGTCCGGCCTTCCGCATTTCCCCCTCGGCTGTGGTGCTACGCTTGTCTGTTGTCAGTGTTGTGTGCGCCTTTTTTTCCACCCTCTTACTCTCTTGCTCCGCCTTCGTCTATTGCCTGGCTTCGTCTAGCGGCCGGCGGTATCGATGCCACCTCGGCAGGCGTAGATTGATGCGCAACAAAACATTGGTTCAAGATGGCGCCATGACTTTGATGCTCGAGACGGCTACTGGAAACGGGTTACGGGAGGCTTTCACGTCTGTGCGAAGAGAGAAAGGGGGGAAGTCAAGGCACAGCCGGAACAAGAGCAACAACATATTGATGGTTGGGATGAGCAAGTTCCACGCATGGTGCGAATGGATGGGAAGATGAAGGGTCGGGGAAAGCAAGCATCAACCCGCTGCGAGTCGACGAGCTGGGCAGCCTTGTTTCTTTTCTCTGCGTCTTCTGGCGTGCTCTTCTACCGCCGGGACGCTCGAGGTTTCTGCACGGATGTGTTGGTGCTGCAGCCATGATCCCTCCACGCTGCCGAGACGGACGAAATACTGGCAGCGCGATAGGCTGGGGACATGATCAGTATCCACCCAGGACCCAAGTCCAAGTTAAGAAAATCAAGGAAGCAAGACCAGTCACCGCCATCCTCGCTCGGAACGGGCCTATGACAGGCGCAGACAGAATGAGGCCAGCTGGCTAGCGCCGTGTATTAGCTCGAGTCGACCTGCGGTCTTTCTGTGACGGCCAACACGAAGGCACATATTGGATACGACGAGGTCGGCGATTCGGCGGTGGACGCTGGCCGCATGTCTGTCTGTTTCCAAGGCAGCCAGCAGAAGCTGAGAAGATGATGCTGCCAGGAGTCCAGACACTCTGGCCAGCAGCTGCCCACGACACAAGACAGAGAGATGAGACTGGATGGGCTTGGAAATGAGTGGTGGACAAGATATTCCAAGATGTGATTGCTATTGCCTTGGCCTGGCATCCATCTGCAGAAACAAAGGGCGCCAATGCTTCGGAACAGGGGCTGTCTCTGGCCAGCAGAACATGGGCAGGGGGGGCCACGCATGTCGACGTGGTAGACAGCTCCACCCCCAATCCTCCCCTCCCGAGTTTGCCATGCCCGCAGCCCCTTGGATGCCCCCCTCACAGACCTCATCTCGTTCGCTCGTTTGTGCAAATGCCAGCAGAGACATGGCTTCGTCCCGCAACATTAAAACCCGCTGACCCCCTCTGTCCCTGCCCGACGTCTGTTTCTCTTCTTATTCTTTCAGCCCAACCCGCAACATCATTCCTACCCAATTTCTTCTGCATTCTGCATCGCTGATCTCTGGCAACCCAACAAGCGCCAATATTCTCTTCTTCTACCCGCCTACATCCCTTCAGCCCTCACCAAAACGGTCAACCTGAGCTAAGAAAGATCAAAAAAGATCTTCCGCATCTTGCCACCCAAGGACTACCATACTCGACACCATCTCGACCAAAGCATTCCAAAGGAACGTCGCAAACAAGTGATCCGCTGTGTTTGCTCTTTTCTTTGGTATCTTCACACGACACAACTCAACCGAGTTGATTCACATTGCCCTGGACTTGCATGACTACGCGACCCGAGGAATCAATGACTGCCCTTGTTGTTCCGCGCCCGGATATGCCTGGCTACAATTCTCTTGATTTGGACGACGTCCACACACCTTCTAGGTATTGTCTTTTCTTATTCTGTTCCCAGGGTGGTCCGTCGTCTTTTAAAGTCATGTCTTGCGAGCTTCATGTACAGTTTCTTCGCGTCTACCAACCAGATCTTTCCCGCCGCGGAGGCATTCAAACAAAAAGGATACATCGACCCATGGACTCTTCTTCCGGACTATTTTCTCTGCCAGGACACTTTCCCCGGGATCATTGCCAAGGACATTCTTTCTTTCCGCTGGACAGAGGAGACCGTTGTGCAGAGGCCTAGCCTCTTGCCCGTCGAACCAGACGCGGTCATCAACAATATTTAATACTATTTTCACGGTGAGTACTGTCCGACAAGAACAAACCTGAGACAAGCAGCAACTTGGACTCCACTGGAATACTTCGCACCAAACAAACCTGGACATTGTCTGGAAACCTTTTTGCCTATGGGATATTCATGGATATTACTACTGGAACTTATGGACGTCTCATCCGAGGCTACAGAGGCTGCCCAGCTTCGCATTTGGATGGACTTCACCGGATACCTACTCCCAACGACAGAGGACATGCCGGGTCTACTGCTTTGTCACTGCCTTATTTCAGGCTTGACGTAAGCATATTTCGAAAAACGGATCCTGGATTGTCACGGTGCTCCAGCACGTGTCGGCTTCTGTTCTCTCTGTTCATGGATTTCCGTTTGCTTCGATCCTCTGCTTCGACTTGGCACTACCTGGTCTGTCTCCACACAGCAGTATAATTCTGACGGACGGGACTTGCTATTATGCTGTTTTCTGGAAACTCGTCAACACAACCGGTATTATCCACAGCCGTAAGGACCTTACACAATTGCTCACAAACCCTGAACCGGCATGAGGACAACATCATGGCACCGATGAAGCATTACCGCACCTTCAAGGCTACACACCGGCAACATCACCAATACCCAAGGACAGCTGTTCTTCACGACTATTGACCCTGAGGATCTACGACATATCTGTATTTGTTACACGCACCCGGAGCTCCACAAATTTGAACCGCGGACCTACACTGGACCACTCGCTATCGCTTATTGGACTCTATCCTGGCATGATCATTTGATCTGCGCTCGCTTGGTCTGTCAACTCATAACTCCGAACCTGTGAGGCACAAGGCCCGTCTGCTAACACGCTTGTCCTACAGGAACAAAGTTGTGCCATGCTGAGATGTTTTCTTGTTTACTTTTTTTTTGCACTGCACACATGCTTTAGTGGAGAAACAGCACACTAACCCCCCCCT